TGAATAGAGAAGATCGGCTCGTGCCAAAATAGCGTCCATGTTTCCATCAGTAGTGTCCCTCCCCATCACAGCAGGCTTTCACACAGCGTTGGACACGCTGTCAGCAACAAGGAGCTCTAACCAGGCAGTGACGCTATCCACAGTGTCAGCAGCGCACTGCCTGTCGACTGAGTTTCATGCTGAAGGCTTTGTGAAATGAATATTGTAAATCCAGTGGAAAGTTTAAACGCCTCTAAGCCCTAGTTACAACACGACAGCTTATGAATATTTCTGATGATTCTGTAGAAGACTAATGTAATAATAATGCTAATGATGAGAATAGTGATCTTTCTAAATACATAATCAAAACAAAGCATGAAGAGCAGAGGACAAAGCAAGAACAAAGTAAATTGGTTATATTCATGCATTTTAAATAAGGCCAAACAAAGAACTTACATTTAAAAAAATAAAAAAAAGAAGACATTTAGTATGCAGCTTCAACTGTTATTGATCTGATATTGCGTCAAAAAGCAACTCTTCATTTAGTGATATGGTTAAAAAAAGATGTCTTTTTCATCAACATAGGTGTTTCACATTGGTTACACGGCTCTATGTTTTTCTCTCCATGTCCCCGATTGCTGTCTTTGTGATGAAACACAAACACTTGTGAGTGTGAATTTTATTTTTTTTAACTTTGGATGTTTCAAGTTCTTTCCAGTAACTTGTATTTTTTTGAAACTCTCAGGGATTTTTCTCCAAGGATTAAGTCTTTTGAATACTTTTCTTACTAAAGAGATGATACAGCCTTCAGTCCTCCACAGGCTCCCAGCTCTAATTCAAGTGCAGTCAGACCTGTTATTTTGAAAGCTCGCTCACTCTACCTGACTTTTAAATAGTACTGGCAGGGACTTGCTGTTGAAGTTAGCCCTCAATCTTCAAACGCAAATATATGCGGCACAGAGCTACTAAAAGCAATGAGGAAAAAAAAAAGCTGTTAAAAAATCTAAAGAATTTGGTGACTGAAGAGTGGATGGGTTAAAAATAAAAGCTGAAAGACTTCTTGCTCCGTCTGAAGTGGGACTTGATCACTAGGTGACTCATAACTGTTTGTAGTGCAGAGAGAAGAAGCCGAGTGAGAAGCACAAAGGCCTGAAAATGATATATTTTTTCATCAGTATTCACTTTAAAACCAGACAGGCTCAAGTCACCATCAGTTGGTGGTCGCTTTGAATTAGACATGAAATATCTCAGCCTTTAAAATGACCCTTGATGACTTTTCCTCAACCGTATAAACCGTCATTTTTACATTTTGCAAATCGCGCAAGAAAAAGATACCCAATCATTCCAGCTACCTTCAGAGAGTTTCAATTTTATGACCTTCTCTGTGGCCCGTTAAAACTCACAAAGGTATCAAAGGGCTTTATAATTCTGAATTCATAAAACCTGATGTTAAGTTTTCCAGTTTTATCATTTTTCTTTGCACAGGATAAGCCTTGTGGTGTGAAAGTCACTCCGGAACAAAATGTACTATCTATGCCTTTCTGAGTTTGCTAGAAACTGCAGCTGCTAAATTACCGAATCTTTCATAAAATTGAAACTATACATTTGTTTTGCTTTTTTTTAAAGCAAATCTTGAGAAGGAATGGATGGGTTTGGAGCTAAAAGCCTGAGGCCTTGTTCACAACAAGGGGCAAACTCTGAATCTACAAAACCAAAGCCAACGTCGAAGTGCCAAAAAACTGCAGTTCCTGAAATGGCCACTTGAGGCTGGCTCAAAAGCACTTTCATCCCTGCAGACCTCCATGTTAAAATTTTCAATTTTACAGAAGAAAAATACATGTTTACAGCCTGGTTTTGGTCTCTTTAGCTTATTTTTTTAATGCTAACTGCACAGGGGGTTGAATTTTGATATTATTCACCCGTTTAAATTGTATTAAGGCTTAAAGTTATGCATAATTAAGGCCGTAGCTGCTTTGGGATGCTTATTGTAGTGTTTGTAGCTGTTTTTGCATTTCCATGCTCATGGAGATATTTTGTAAAACCTTTTTCTTTTTGGTTTGTTTAATTGAGGAGTTTGACATCAGTCTAGAAAAAAAAAATCCAGCATCTGAACAAAGTCTAAGTTGTTTTATATGGACCTCTATTTACAGTAAAACACGTGCAAAACAGTTCAGTTTCTTCTTGTTCTCCTTCTTCCCAGCTGGTAAACAACAAAACTGTGCATCACAGCCAAAATCTATAAGGACTACGACAGCTGCCTCAATCATAATTTCATGGTCACAGCGTCGTCTGACAAACTTTGCATTAATAGATGTTAATGACAGCAGCAGTGCTGTATCAGCGACTGCATCAGTATATAAAATGTCTGATCGTAGAAAAAGTTTTAAAGACTTTTGAAACTTGCAAACAGGGCAACTCTTCTCTTCGTTCCGTTGTCATTGGTGCATGGATGTCATTGACGTCCCCTTTATTCATCTGAGCCATGATCACTTCAACTAAGCGCCAAAAATAAATATCAAAACTTCAACTTATGTGAAATAGTCAGGGTATACAAAGAAGATGAAAAAGGAGAACATTTGAGGCTGTAGAACTGGAATTAGTAGTGAAGAAAAGGAAAATATATAAAAGGAGGAACATTTGAGAAAGCAGCATTAAATACAGACACATTTCTGCTGATATCCAGATTTACAGGCTCTGACTAAAACCCAAAGGAGGGGGTCCTGGGGCATCTTGATCCAGGCCTCCATGTAGTGTAAGTGGGAGTTGGCAGGTGCATCTAAAATCTTTTTGGCATAGCTTGGATATGCTAGTACCTGCTCTGCATGTTAGCACTCCCTGCTCTCAAAGGACTTTTTAGCATCAGTGAAGATGAAGACAGAACGAAAGAAACTGAGAAAGTACAAGAATTTTTTTCCCCCCTCACCCTTTCTGCAGCATTACTGTTTCACTTCCTCATTATAAGTGGCTACAGCAGCGAGCAGGCTTTGCACTGCAGTCTGTCAACAAAAAAGTGTTTGCTTGGTGCTTATAATTAAAGCGTAACTTAGGGCTTGGTTTTTCCAGGGAACTTCTGGGATAATCTCTGGAAAGAGGAGCGAAACCCTGCACACCCAGGGCAGTCATCCGGAGTTACATTCTGCATTTGCATCTACTATTACTTTACCTGTAGTGTGCATTTGCTGTCTTCTGCCATGCCACCGTGGTGAACACCACAGGCTGTTTGGCCCATTGTCGTAGCAGCGTGCTCTTGTAAACAAATTGAATTTATGTAACCTTGCTGACGGGAAGGAACTGCAGAGTCCAGACTGGCTGGTGAGCGTGGCGTCCCCGATGTTTGGAGCCCAGTGGAAACATAGTTATTACGAGCAGAAAGAGTGAACTCACCGCCTACAGTGGCAGCCAGCTTGTTTTGTTATATGGATGATGAAGTTGATGTATGGGCCCATTGTATGCGCAGAACAGCCACAGTCTTTCTGCCAAGTGATGAATAGCATCAATACTGTGGGCTATTGGAAAAGACCGGGGCGCACAAGATCTCATCTCAACTCCTCTTTTCCATTTTCTCAATTTTCCACTTTTGGCAGATCTCAAATAAATTGTATTGTTTTTCTTTGTGTTTTATCCTCGCCTTCCCTTCCTTGTTCCTCTATCTATAGAGCCTGCTCCTTTTGTGCAACTTTTAATGAGCTAAAAGGTATGCAAGAGTGCACAGGAAACACTTGACAAAGCACTTTTGAAAGATTACGGCTGACTAACAGCACAGTGGTGTCTAGTTGGCTTTGTCTCTTTCCCCCCCTTTTCTTTCTCTGCATCTGTCCAGCCGAGCAAGAGGCTGCAGGAATGAGCATTGCAATAGAGGCAAGATTAGAATCGGATGTGAATTGGGCTGGAGATTGGTTTGTAGACTGAAAATGGGAGATGGAATGGAAGCAGAGGGAAGACTGGGGGACAGATGAACAATGGGAGAAGGTCACAGTTAAAAAGCCAGTGTGAGAGGATAGTGGCGCTGCTGGTGTGCTGGAGGATGAGATTGATTGAGTAGCGCAATTTGCTCGCATATTTGCATGGAAAGAATCTTTACACCGGTTCTAGTTTTTCTTCTCACCACATCAGCTATTCGGTCTCATAATGGCACAGTTTCCGTCAGACTATCCAGTGGCTGCTTTGAAAGCCAACTGCCGGTCCGTGCTTCAGGTTGCCCATTAAGGCACTCAGGGTGTTATGTGGCTTTCATCCCACATTTCATGTCATTAGTCACCTCTAAGTGAATTTAATGAGAAATTACCTGTTATAGAAGCCAAAACAGGTTTTTGCCGCTGAAGAAGGAGCACATTAATCCCTCCTAATGACTTATGATAATCATCTGAGCCTGAAACCTGTGGACTACTCATGGGTGTCTAAGGCAGCTTAGCCATAACGCTAACATTGATGGATGATGATCTGATGTTGAAGATTTTATTTTATTTTTTTTTAATTTTACGTCTCTCTGCATAAGCTTTCAGCATCCAAAAATCATAACTTGTTTTACAGTCCTTTTTGTTGACTGCACTCTATTTTCCAATGTTTGGTATCAAATTATTTCCAAGAAGAGAGCCCCATCGATTGTTTGCTGCACTGAGTGTCAGAGAGACAGTTTCCATAAAACTTTCATGTCGTCTGCTTTCCTCTTTGCCTCAACAGGAGTTAGTGTTTGTGTGTTTGCTCTCACAAAAGGGACCCAATTGATTCTTGCATTTATTTTCAACCGTGCTTTCCTCTTTTTCCTCCCTCACAGTGGCAAACATTTTGTGGCGAGAAGAAGGTACGTCTAGACTGCTTCTGCTCCTCTATAGCATTCATTAAACGGAGTTAATTGAATTTCTGTAATAGGGTTACTGAACTGTGATGAGAAGGATTAAATGATTCGATGCTTCAAAAGTAGATAACAGTGTTGTAGGCTTATTTCGCTGCAAATGTTCACACTGTGCAGTCTCAGAAGCTATTTTCAGGTATGTAACGGGGCTGTTGTTGCTCTTCTGCAGGTCTCGGCATTGGCAACATGTTCTATGTGTTCTATGAGGACGGCATTAAAGTCATTCAGCCGGTGGCGTGTGAGATACAGCGACACATCAAGCCCAGTGAGAAGCTGCTGGCACTGCAGGTGAGCGGTCAGGCAAAGGAAACATTCAGCGTCTTTTTAACAGTGACTCATATGTGTGAGCTGAAGCTTGTGAGGGGGAGGAGGAACACCTGGGCCTTACTGTTGGAACAGATCATCTTTTACTATGTACTTCTGGGGCTATTAGGTAAAAAAAAAACAGCTGCTGGTTGCGAGGCGTTTTCCCCAATGCAAATCCTAATTTGATGGTTTTCTGAAATTATTTTTCTGTACTTTTATTGTTGTTGACAAATCCCATGAAAAAAACAAACCTGTTTTCACTCATTCCTCTGCACCACGGAGCTCCACTGCTGCCTAGAAATGTTGAAAACATACATCACTGAGCCCCACTAATGTCTGTGTGCTGACATGTTTGCAATAAAACTTCATAAGGTGATGTTTATAGTGGGTTTAACCTTGGCCTTAATGTGATTCAAGCCTCGGACCTCCTATGGAGAAGATGAATGGCATTAACCCCAGTTTGCAACTAATTTAAATATAATGATTCGTAGTAATTCAATATGTAGCTTAAATTACTCTGACTTATCTAAGCTGTTTCCCCTCCAAACAATCAGTGTGCCAAACACATTCTTGTCCAGGATACCAACAAACTGTAATGATTTACGCTTGCCAGGAACTCACAACACTGTTAAATGCTCCCTGTAAAATTGATATTTTATTGTATTCGAAAATCTTGTCAAAGAACCAGATAAAGTCATAAAACAGAAACATAAAAGCAAGTGTTGAACAGCGCAGTGAGCCCGTGGCAGGCATAAATCAAAAGCTGTACATTGTCCAACATTAAGTCAGAAACATGAAAGCATGTATGATGAACGCTGATTAGCCACAACATTCAAACCACTGACAGGTGAAGTGAATTATGCTGATTATCTTGATACAATAACGCCTGTCAAGGGGTGGATATATTAGGCAGCAGGTGAGCAGTCAGTTCTTGAAAGTGATGTTTTGGAAGCAGGAAAAACGGGTAAAGTGTAAGAATCTGAGCAACTCTGACAAAGGATGACAAGACGACAGGTTTAAAGCATCTCTAAGACTGAGGTGTGGTGTTTAGTACCAACCAGAAGTGGTCCAAGGAAGGACAAAAGGTGAACGGCTGACAGTCATGGGTACCGAAGGCTCACTGATGCGCACGAGGAGCAAAGCCTGGTTGGTGTGGTCTGATCCCACAGAAGAGCTGCTGTTGCACAAATAGCTAAAAGCCTTACTGCAGGCTATTATTAAAAAAAAAAAAAAGTAGCGCACAATGCATGCAGCTTACAGTGTATGAGGGCTGCTCCAGACCAGTCAGAGTGGCCACGCAGACCCCTGTTCACCACTGACAGCGCCTACAATGGGCACATGAGCGTCATAGGTGGACCACGGAACAATGGAAGAAGGTGGTTTGACCTGATGACTGGCATTTTTTTCTACATCATGCGGATGGTGTGCATTATTTTCCTGGTGAAGAACTGGTAGCCGGATGCACTATGGGAAGAATGCAAGCCGGCATGGCAAGGTTATGCTCTAAACAATGTTGTGCTGGGAAACCTTGGGTCCTGACATTCATCTGGATGTTAGTTTGACACGAAACCAAAGGATAATAAGCCACGCCACATTGCAAACATTGTTCAGGGATGCTTTGAAGAACATGAGAAAGGGTTTGAGGTGTTGACTTGGCCTTCGCATTTCACAGATTGCAGTCTGATCAAGCATCTGTGGGGTGTGTTAGAAAAACAAGTCCAATTCATAGATGCCTCACCTTGAAACTATCCGGACTTGAAGAATCCGCTGCTAATGTCTCAGTGGCTGATACAACAGGACACGTTCAGAGGTGTCATGGAGTCCAGGCCTCAGTGGGTCAGAACTGTTCTCACAGCGTGAGCGGGAGCTCCACAGTATTAGGCAGGTGTTTGTATTGTTGTGAACGATCTGCATAAATGTATGACAACTCACAAATAGGAAATAATTGTTGGGTGTTTTTAAATGGAAAGCGATCATTTGTTATTCACTGGCCTTAACGACAAACATCCTGTTGTGTTACTTAGTAACAGCTACTGATATCAGACGATAGCTGTCGGTGGGATTTAGCTGACATTCTTATTTAAATGCAGCCGAGCAGGTAAAGAATCCCTGTTCAAGAGTTTGCAGCTGTACATTTTAGCACCTCAAACCACAGCGGCATCAATATAGTTATGAGTGCACCGAGATATGAGGCGAATGTAGATCTATATGTCCTCAAGCACCTGCATGACAAATAGCAGTGTCATTGTCTTGCTGTATCTGTGACAGGTCCAAAAGGAAATGTAGTGCTTTTATTTCACTCCTGGTTTTCAAATTAATGGATGCGTGAGATACTGGGAGTGCAGATGATGTAGCGAGTTTCTCACAAAATCCTAAAGAGATGAGAGTTCAGACTAGATTAGAAGAGCACTCCAAGGTTGAAAAATGCCATAAAATAGTCACATTAAAACATTCAGTACAACAGAACATACGACACGTCTGTTCAACTATTTGGTGATTTTTACATGTTTAGATACAAATTAAACGATTGAAGAATTAAATGTTACATGTTATTGGACCTGGATCTAAATTCTCCATCATGTTCACTACCTACTTTCCAACTTCCTCTGTCCCCCGTTTGGTTTTTGAGAATGTAGTTTACTGTGGGTATTTTGAGCTTTTTTCCACTTGAAGAAGTAAAGGAGTAGGAAATGTTCTGTTAAAATGAGAAACTATGAGCTGAAAGAAGCTAAAATTCCTCACTGAGCTCAGGAGGACTGCAGTCGCATGATAATTCTCAGTGGGTTTAACGCTATTACAGACACCTTTCGTATTAACTACTCATTTGTTTCCTTTGTTAATATAAAAAACATCGATTGGTGCAGCTTTAAAGCAGTTATTGATAGTCACACATTTCTCTGTGCAGTATTGTTATCTGCAGAAAACAGTACCTAGTGGACCCAGTGGACCCAGTGGACACAGTGGACCCAGTGGACCCAGTGGCCACTGTACACTGTCAGGTCCACCTGTTTAATTTAATTCCTTGACAGACCCCAGGCAGTCAGAGGGGGCTTCACCTCACAGCGGACATTTTACACCCAACCCCCTTCCGTGAATCACCATTTATCACTAAAGCTTTCAAGCAGCGAAATATTCAAAGCGGCCGGCTGATAGATACCTGTTAGATTTACATGTGTTCCCAAATAGACGCCTTCCTCTCAGCTGCCTTTCATCCAGGAGCCGTGTGCTGATTGGATGGTTGTTATGCATAAAGCCACGCCATGAATGCACAACAATCAGCCGAGCATTCCTCCGAGAGGTGTGTTTGTATTAGGATATCAATCACGGCGAGTGCTGTAATGCCAGCTCCAGCGCTGTCTTGGTGGATTGCGGTGTGAACACACGAGGCTGTTCCCAGCATGGAACTCACGTTTTCTCCATCACAGAGCAGCATTGATTGATTTGTTTATGGTAATCGCACAGCCAATCCATTATCCTATCCGACCATATAGTGCTCAGATGTGATATAAACCGTATCGAGGAAAACACTGCGATGTCCAATTGCAGTAAAGTCAGTCCACTAAGTGTCTTTATTCGACTTCCACCTGCAGCAGAACACAATCTGAGAAGTTTCATTAGCGTTTTGTTCTTGTTGTGTCGAGAACTGCAGTGCTGTTGAATGTCCGTCTTTCATTGCTTATAAATGGGGGAGGGATTATGAGTATGTATTGTCAATGCCCTACACATACACAGCTGTTTTGTGTGTGTGTCTTTGTTATTGAAAACAGGCAAAGAATTATAAAATTGGAATTTTAAAAAAATACTATTTGTCAGGCAATGGCTCTTACAGTCTTAAGGCACTCAAACAACAACTCATTTGCCCTTTCTCTCTTCCACCAGAAACACTCTCTGAGTCATTGTTTAATTTAAACTGTGAGGATTAACATGCTGGACTCCTGATCTTTCACTACATCACTATGTCATAACTGGTAGCACCAGGCCAGGAGTCTGCTCAGAGCATTTTCACCATGTCAGAGAGGCACTGCGTGTGAAGCACAGAAACAAAACAATAATGGTGACGAATGTATTGCAACGTACGTCTAATAACCAAAACATAGCCACGAGCGGTTCATAACTGTACTTAAACTGTAGGCTGCAGTCCAACAAAGTAGGAAATAATAACACTCTTTAAACAAAATAGACATCATTCATCAACTTAACCTACTAAACCCTGGTAGAAGCACAACAATCAGGGTGAAAGTCTGCATAGAATGGACAAAACTGCATTGAATGTGAAGCCAATATCTGGCACCCAGCGGAGTCCAGGCAAACTGTACAGCAGCTTGGATTGAAACCTGAGAGCAACACCTTGACAGAATACATGAGACCGTGCTGCTATTTCACTGTAGCATTTCTCTTTCTGACTCTGATGTTACTGCTTCACTGTTTTCCACAGTTTTCCTCCCCACAAACGCCTGATGTGTCACAAATATACTGAGGCTACAAATCATCCACTGGCTTAACTGGGGACTATCAGTATGCCCATATTTCTCACATTCTCGAGCATAGACAGTAGAAATCCTTACAATATGAAAGTCGTTTTTTTCCACAGTATATGCTTGAGAGATAAAGCGCTGTATGGCTCCTGGCATGGTTCCAGTGCAACACACGCAGGATTTTAGTAGATCCACGGAAAAATACATGTGTAGGCATTTTTTAATATTAAAAAGAAAACATATATATCTGCGGTCTTTAGAAGCTGTCAGTTACTACATAAATCGCATACATGCAATGCACCCACACACATGCTGACATATGCAACACACATAAACACAAAGAGGATTACAGCCGCCTCCATTCACACCCTCAGCTGGGCATCAGATGTTCGATTTCTCACCTCCTAAAGGTGCAATAAGTTAGATATTTACAGCCCCACAGCACAAAATGACCACAGTGTGGGTCTGCAGGGGTGTCACGGAGTTCAATACCAATGACTCAACAATTACTTCAGCAAGTGCTGGGATTTCTGGCTTTTAAAACTGACTTCTTCAACCCTTTTTTTTTTAAAAATCAAAAGCGCTGACAGATGGTGCTACACCTGGACGTTGCAACCTATAAAGACATTAGTTAGAAAGAATTAAAAGACCTTGTTTTGAAGCCAAAAAAAAAAAGTCAAAGCACTGTCATTGCTTTAATGCTTTGCACAATGAAATGACCCCTGAGGAGGATGTTTTTGTTTTATGTCTGCCCAAATTAACCTGCTTCTAAAGAGAAAATAAAGGGCACATGGCGAGTGGGGGTCTGCAGTGGAGATGAATGCCGTCTCACCCTTGATATGAAGTTCAGTTCAGTTCATTCATTACGTAATGCCCTTCTAACTGAGAGAAGTTGGCCTGTGGGAAGGCACCTGTCGTGAACTGCCTCTGCGGTTGTAAATATGAGAGAAAGAGTTCATCCTACCATGCTGGAGCCCTTCATTCATCCTTGCTGGCCAGCAGCTCCCTAAATTGTCCCACCGAGTATGGAACAGACGACTGGGCACAGCCTGGAGGCTCGGGGGGCTGGGGAGCGGCTGAAGGGGAGGGAAGCTCCAGAGACAGAAGGCTGGTTAAGGTTCCTGTTGGCCAGGAAGGCGAGAGCTGCCAAAACTGGAAGCTGAACAGCCGCAGATCGTCTGCAGGCTTTGTTCTGTGGATTATGTGTGGACAAATGGGAGCGATTACAGAGATTTTGCAGGACCTCGCAAAGCTCATTTATCTAAGTTGCCAAGATAACACGACTCACATCAGCACAGGTGATAAGACTGCAAGTAGCAAACGACACAGAGTAACGACTGGGTGAGGGTAATTGTTTTTTAATGACAAGTATTTCCTTGCAGTATGAAAACCAGTTAGCTCACAATGCATGTGTATACCTTTGTTTTTTGCAGGAGGAGGTGTGCCCAACCTCACCAGGAGAGGCGGTTCAGAGGTGTGTGTGGTCATCGGCGGTCAACGTCAAGGACAAGTTTATTTATGTGACACAGCCAACCTTGGATCGAGTGCTCATAGTTGACATCCAGTCTCAGAAGGCCGTCCAGGTAATTTTCAGGCTAAATTGGAAAAGCAGGTTCATGTCAGTTTTGCCAGCAACACCGAAAGGCTTTGACAATTTTACACGGACAAGGGGGGAAAAAAAATTAAGCAATCTTTCCTGTTTGTGCCTCTGTAAAAGTGAAAAGTTCTTTCTTAAAGAAATCTGCCTCCATCTGTGCCAACAAATCTCAAGGTTGCCGCCCCCCCGCCTCAGTGTTCCCACATTGATTGAAAGCAGCATATTTCACAACAGCCTTCGATACATCATTACTCCATATGGGTAGTTTCTGTGATTGATTTTGAGGAATGAAGGACATTTTTTTCATCAGATCGTACCCTAAGAATTCATTTTGATACAAAGCACCATCCTCCATCAACAAAATCAATTATTCGAAAGCATTGAACTGTAGGCTTTTTGTGTTACCCAAACTTAATGTGGATTTATCAAGACTTCTTGGAAACAACTTAGATATGCTCAAACCCAAAATATTCTACTTAATTAATAATTTATTGGGATATCAATACACAAGAGTCAATGCTATGATGTGCTAATACTGGCTATGGTGAGTTTTGGCCAAGAAGTCATAAAAATTACAACACATTTGACTACTGGTTGACCCAATAATGTAAACTTGAACTTTTTCCTTACCCACCATGTTTAGATAATCAGAGACCTTAGACCTGATTACAGTCAATACTGGGATGAACTTAAGTTTTGCTCCTGAACAAGCATCAACTTGGTTGACCTTGATAATCTTCTGCTTGTTTTGTTACTGTTGGTGCTATTAGCTTCAAATTACACAGACCCTCAGGCCATGGTTAATAGATGACCTGGGGGATACAGAACAGCAACATTCGGTATCCCGATAGTGTGCAATGTATTGGTTTCTATTTCTAAAGCCGTAAACAAATCCAGTTAAATGTCAAGGTTGTATTAGGTTGTGAGAAGGATGTACACAGTCAGCTCAGCCTCACCGAGGAGCTGCATCTGTTTAAAGGTGACGGTAAAAGTCACACTCCCGCTGAAGGAACTAGAGTTAGCTAGCATTTGTCAGCGTTACTTGCAGGTAGTGGCTAAACAGTAGACTTCACACATTTTTGACTGTCACCTAGAAGTCTTCACGAAAGATTTATATAGTATTAATATAACGGTACACAGCTGTTAGTTATATAAAGATATAGTGAAGTAATGACATCCCAAACAAAGACTGAAGTCACACTCCCTGTGTGAGTTGTAATCAGAGTTTCTCTGCTCTATGATTTGGAAGCCAGTCTGGCTTCATGTGCATGTTAGTGCATGTGAACACCTCCCGTTGAAACTGGTAGCCCTTCCCATATCTAAAAACAGACTGAGTGACATCCTTCACCACATTGTAAAGCAACAGTGCAATGCAAACCAAAGAATTAAATGCACTCATTCCTGTTTAGCTCAGTGTGAGAGTCTCTGCTGCTGTTTTTCTGCTCTGCTCTGCTTGTCCTTCACTCCACTGTGTCTCCTCCTCTCCAGTCATTGTGTGTCTGTTTCATCAGACAGACTGGACTGGAGTTACAACACATGGAGCAAAGGAAAAGCTAATCAAGTGAAGATAATTTAACTGTCATTTAGAGCCATTCAATGTATGCCACACTGCTATCATAGACTGATGGTTGTGGCTGGGTTATTTTTTTGTTGGTTGTTGTATACATAATCTTCCTGGTTGTAAACTGTACGTGAGAGGAAAAGGCAGATGTTGCAGATGCAGCCATTTGTTTTGGTCTGAGATGCTGGTGCTCCAGCAACATCAAACTGATGGAGGTAGAGTCAGTCACTTAGTTGCTTGGCAACAGGTGTAATATATGGCATCCTGCCAGCCGATTGTGATGCAGGGTCCTATTTAAAGGATAATTCTGGTTTATTTCAGCTTGACACATTTCCCAAGGGTTATGCTAACTTTGCACTCTCCGCCACTGTTGTAGCGATTCATGAAAATGTGGAGTTGCACAAAATGGCAACGCACGTGTAAATAAACCTTCAAAACCCCTGACCCAGTTAGCAAAATGGCTCTTCCAGGCAGCTAATTTCTGTTTTTCCTTTCAGTCAGACTCTCTGTCAGGTGATAAACCGAAATGATCCTTTAATCATTAATGAGGAACTAAATACACAACAAATGTTGTTATTTAAGCTGTACACATCATCACAGATCAGAGTTTGGAGAGTTTCCTATAAAATACATGTTGTAGGCCAAAAAAAAAACAAACAAAAAAAAAAACAAGAAAAAATAAACTTTTTTTCCAAGGGAGTCTATACAAGCATGACTCCAAGGTTTGTTTGGTAGTTTGACTGTGAAGCCAAGTATAAACAGTGATGTGCTGTGAAACTGTGGCCGCAGTTTATGCCTCTAACACATAACTGCACAACAGGACATAAACGAGGTTTTAGTTAATGAGTGTGCAAAAGCCAAATATGTCTTTGCCGGGGTTTATTTGTTATGCGTTTATGGTCCACAAAACAGCAGCAATATCTGTTGCCTAACTGTTAATAAAATGGCACATATCAGTGGTGGCAGATTAGCTATAGATAATTCATCTAATTTTGTAATTGTAAAACAAAAGTGGGCTGATATCTGAACTCTGCAATTGTAAATGGACTGTGAGCTTTTTGTTGTTGTTGTTGGACTTGACCGACTGGATGGCTTATCAAGTTCAGCAGTTTTGAATCAGGTCTCTCAGCATGGAAATATATACATATATATGAACTTAGTTTACATTTTCTATCTTTGACTTTTCATCTCAGTTTGGTGTTTTAGTGGCAGGTAGCGCCACTGGAAACTGTTTCTGACTTCTTTACCAGCAACAGCTGACTGAAGATCTCAGTGAATTCCTAAACATTCTAATTTCGATCACTTGCGTGAACTCAACATCATTCGCTTTGATTAAGGGATCTGAAAGCCCTCAGGTTCAATAAAAATGCTACCAAACACCAACCCCAGTTCTGACAACAGATTACAAGACTTTCTCATCTTTGTCCACGTGTTTGACTTTCCAACAGGACAAAGTCTTTTTTTCTTGTCTAAAGCTTGGCAGTGCATCAACACTGCTCTGTTCCACTTGAACCAACGATCTAAAGTGCTGCTTTTTCAGCTTTATGATCAGACGTATCACCTTTTGTTTGACTGCTAATCCCTGACCTGACCCGTTTCAGACAAACCGCAACTGTCAAGACTTACACTTAACCTTCAGACTGATGTAGTGACCAAGTAAGCCCTGAAACCCACCTTTTCCTGGATACTGTCGCTCGGCAACCTTTCATAGATATCGTAACGTGGCAACCTCTGCAGTTTTCCTCGCAGATGGTGTAAGAAGCAGCCCCCCCCCCACATCAACACTCTGCCACCTTGCAGCACCATTTATTTTCCTGAGGTAATTTTATTTGTGTGAGGTTTGCTCGGGAGATGGCACAGACAGGATTCAGCACATTTATAGCCGGCAGTGTTGAGTTAAATCATCAGTGTCGGTGGGTTTTTGGGTGTGTCAGGACAATCCAGGGTTGCTCAGATCCCTGCAGATGTTCCTGACACCGTGATGGCTGTTTACAGCTCGGAGCCTCTCAGGACCTGCCAGTAAGCAGGTTGGTGTCCCAGAGTCTGTCACAAGCTCATTATTCAGTTACCTGGAGGTTTAGCTTCATTGCATTATATTACCAGTTGTTAATTAACCACCTGAAGCTCTCACCCGTCTTGAACAGCGAGAAAGACACGGGTCCTGGTTTTTGCTTTCTCTGCTTTCCATTTTCCTCATTGAATTATTAATATGATTGCTGTGTGTTAAGTAATAATAACAAACAAGTTGCATTTTTAAATTTGTAAATAATTCAATTCCCGGTGAACAGCTTTCGACGAGTGAGTTGCATTTGGCGTGTTATAACTAATTAATTGCAAAGTGCACAGGGACAAATGTTTGAAGTAGCTGTAATGCTCTACGTGCCTCATCTCTGACAGATCCGCAGTCTGCGCTGAAGTTACAAGAGCATATTGGCTGAGGATCTTGATAATCTTCCTCAGCCAGAAAGAAGTTGTTAGTCAAGAGAAAAAGAACAACATGAACACCTGTTTTCTCTGATGACTACATGCTCCGAGATTAGTTAGAATTCAACAGATATTCTCTTCTTATTTGCAATAACTCTCTTAGGAGCGGTTTAGTCTCTCAGTGATGCAGTATATATTTTGCCTTGGTAAACAATACTATTAGAACTCCATAGCAAAACAAATATTATAGAAAGTAAGCTGCTGTCAAAAGGGGCCGTGGGAATACCGGGTTGCAATAATTCTCTTGAAAAAAGATGATTGCTTTTTCGTGCTGTTGTTGAGAGTGAAGCTACTGCATGAATTCGTCTTCCCTGCGCTTTCCCTATTCCCTTTGAGCTCGCTGTCTATCTGCACTCAGGTGGACATAATGCATGAGGAGCGCTTCTCTGTCACATGCGACTCATCTATTGTTCTGACTTGGAATATTGCCGCCGTGTGTCAAGGAACGGATAAAGACTGAAAGCAATTACTTCAGTGTGGTAAAGCAATTGTGTCTGTCACCACTTGATTTGAAATGCAGCTCAACACCAAACACACCTTATACATAAAAAAGCACACCTCCAGTCTGCCTTGTTAAAAGAAGACTTGCTCCTGTCAACCCACGATGCATTAGTCTGCAGGAAAAACTTTTCAAAAGCATTACCACTGCACATCAAAGAGGGATCTCTTCAAAAGCAAGGTCTAGATTGCCTTGAATTGTTATTCTGTGGCCCTGCAGTCTCTAAAGGCTCGGCTGGTCTTGGTTTTGGTTGTGTGTCCCCTTTTCAGACGGTCAGCACCGACCCGTATCCTGTGAAGCTCCACTATGACAAATCTCACGACCAGGTGTGGCTGCTCAGCTGGGGAGACATGGAGAAGAACTTCCCGACCCTGCAGGTAAATCCACAATTCACAGGGTATTACTCCACCACATTATTTATTCCTCTGCAGAGTTTTGTTCTTGGGAAACACTACAAGGCAGTGAATGAGACACAGAAGCACAGAGATGCAGATGGTCAAAGCAGAGTCAGGATTGTTGGCGTGTCCTTTAAATGTCTGTTCAAAACAGTAATTAAATTCTTGATGAATGAAGTTCACAACATTGGGAATAATTCTAATTATGTTTTTCAAAACTCTGAGGTGATACCTATAAATATTTGTTCCAACAACAGCGCTAAATTCAATTTGTGAGATGAAACGTAGATAATATTCACAGTCAAGAAGCTTCTACTTGAAGATGCTTGACATTTTTGCTTGAAGTGTGACTCTAATGGGTTATAAATAAAGACTAATCTTCTATTAATCAGCGACTCCTTTTAGTTATAGATCAGATTGGTATAAATAAAGGGAGCTAATGGAGGAACTTCACGCCTTGTTCTAGTTGATTATAATTAATACCGTGTGGAAATGTTTTGCTAATATCAGCCATAGGGATTCAAAATGAGCATAATATAGTCCTCATAGCGAATCCAGCAGAATGAAGGGAATATGAAACACACTGCATTTCTTCTGCTTACATTGAATACAGCAACTTTTGCTGCATTTTGTCATTTGGCAGGTTTAAGCAACTCCAGTACTATGTATTGTAAAGAACCACCCTATTAAATGTGAATTCCTCCAACTTGTCACCAGCTCTGTTTTCCAATGTGACATGAATGCATTAGTCACTCAGTCTCTCTGGGATCTTCAATTGCTGATTTGTTTGCCTTGCTTGCCTAATTAATAGGCACTTAGACTGCAGTGTGTTAAGTATTTGGACTGTGACATATTTTCTGCAGATTTGGTTGTGAACCAGCACACAGAATGTTAAATAAAGCAAGTCACATCTATTGTCTGATCAACAATAAAGACACAAATCTGATGCTATATCAAATTTTCAAAGTTTTGATTATTATTCAAACCTAATTTGTGTGCAGCAATTCCACATTTGTTCATGGCGGACACATACAGCAGCTAGATACATCAAGCATTTTTATATAAAACAGCAAAAACGTGTCGCTGTCCAAAGACTCCGGGACCATGCTATGTGTTACTATGACACACACTAGAAGATGTGGCATAAATAGAGTCAACTCAAAGTCAAGTCAAAGTTGCTTTCTTGTCAGTTCTGCTACACGTGTACACACACAGGAACTGAAATTGAGTTCCTCATTTAAAAAAACACAGTTGAAAAAAAATATACATACTAAAAAAATGTTTATGATAAACATATAATAAGCTGCAAAATATACAATTTAAACATACAATAGGCTAAAAAATATAATATCTAAACATAGAATAGGCAACTAATATGCAGTGAAGAGTATTTTTCATTTATTTCCTCTAACAGTCGTCTTTATCCAGCTTGAGTGTTGAGTGGTTTTACTGGAAAATCCTGCTGTCATCACTTGCACAGAAACTCATCATGTGGGGTTTGGTCTGTGGCAATTTGCTTTGTGCATTGTGGCACAATCAAAGCAGAGCCTGCCTACACACAACCGCATGTCTGCATGCGTCCATGCATGCACAATTATTATTCAGACACCAAGGACAACAGTACACATCACTTCCCATTGAGAAGCTCCACAATCTTAGCAACAAGAGGAAAAGCTGATGAGCTTTATCCACAAAAACGAAAAACAAAACATATCAGCTGTACGCATATTGTTTTTCCATTTGGTTATAAGCTCCAAATCAGTACGAGTTGAAGCCTTAAATGAGGAGAAATCCACAGCGTTGAATGTATTCATCAAGCTCATGTTAAACACCCACCTGCTTTTCTGTTGGTATTCACCAGGTGATCAATCAGGCCAGTGGAAGAGTCTCCCACCACACCGTTCACACACAACCGGTCGGCCGGCGCTTCGACAGGGTGGACGACTTCTTCATTCCCGCCTCCAGCCTCATCATTAACCACATCAGGTACATCCAGTATGACCCAACAGCACTTCTAATGCAAATTGATTCGTGAATTAAATTCACCCCATTGGCATTTTATTCACTTAAAATCTCTTCAGGACTCAATGCAACAACAATGATGTGGATAGGCATTGTTTTTGCACCGTGTGAGAGCGAGAGAGTGTTTTTGGACAAAGGCCCGGTGGTCATCTGTGCAGCAGATGAGATTGGCCAATCACCTGAAATAATTGTAAAAACTAAACGCTCTTTCATTAGCTATAGTGGATTGTATTAACTCAAAAGACAGTTAACAACCACTGAGCATTTTTCAGTCACTGACAGCTTAGTCTACTGGGAGCAGGGCGAGGCATTGTAAATGATATAAACATCTCCCCGGTAAGAGGTAACAAGAAATATAAATGCACTATTTAGATTTCTTGGCAACATTACCAGACATCATATGACACAGAACAGACAAGAGATGAGAGCTGTCTGTCTCTAAGGAAGCCTCCAGTCACCACAGAAAGCTGCAGCTCAATAGTCACAACAAACTTTAAATGTAAAGCCTCCAGAATGCTGATCACCATCATTCGGCCCCAGCAGCCATAACTGAGTCTAACCTCATTTCAAATGCCACGCAGGTAGGTAACCTTTGTTCTTTCAAAAAGGGAAATTATTTTAAAAACTGAATCAGCTAGAATGTTCATAGCTGCTGGCATTTTCTCTTCAGCGGCGTATGAGACAAATCAGAAAGAAAACAATTCAAACGCAACTGCCTCCTCAAAACCAGGCAGCAGTCTCAAGTTAACACCACTCACATAAGTCTTTAGTGTTTTGTGACTGGAATAATTAGTGTTTTCTTTGTTCTCATCCAGTTGAAAAAGGGAAAACAAACTTAAAAAAGAACACTAGCCAGAGGAGGGGGGCACCTCACCTGCTCTTTATCGCTTTAGTTCATCAACAGTAGAGCGCAGACATGCTGATAGAGAGCGTATCGTAACGCTGCAGCGCTTTTCACATGTCATGAGCAGCTGTCACACCCAGGCTTAGCGTGGATACGGAGAAGCTGGTCTCAAACGCTTGGCTAATGTCACGCAGAGGCCAGGAACAAGCGGGAGGTCTGGAGGATTTCAGGATGTTAACGGTCTCCTGGAGAGGAGGAGTAAGCAGTCCAGTGTGTATGTGGCGGGGGTGAGGGTGGGGTTGCTGGCACAGCTGTAATTAGATCCACTGAGACCAGCAGGGAAGATTGCAGGAAAGTGTGACCGCACTTTTGCAATGTTGTGTTTCAAAAATTGCTATTTTTAACAGCTAGTTGCTCATCGTGTTTGATGCTGTTAAAAATAAGCTTACTGTATGTTGCTGCCGGGTCGTCTCATTACAAAGGTTGTTCACGTGGCGAAAAGCTAAACCACAATACCTTAACGCACAGTAATGGATTTTTAATTAATTAAAATGGCTTGCTAGTGATGGCAAGCTGTACGACCATTAAAATTAAATTGCTTCCTTGCCGTATAGCAGCAATCCTGTGGACAAGCTGCTAACTACGACTGCTATTAGGAGTGGGCAATGCTGATAAAATCCTCTCTGGGTAAACACTATGCATACTTTGGGCTGCAACTCCCACTAAATGTATGAAATGTTCTAAAATAGTGGAAAATGTCCGTTACCACCGATGTTTACTATCATATAAGATAAAGGAAAGCTCTTACATTTAGATAAATTAGGGAGATGTTTTGGTTGAACCAACACAAAATCAGCACAATAATACACAAACCAATGAAATCAAATATTGCCATAAAGTAGATAAATAAAATAAAGACAAAACTGTATGAACAATGTGCAAAAGTCACAGCAAGTTGACAGATTTATATGCTGTACATAACACAATGTAGCCCAAGCCTAACTGAAATGAGTGACAGTAGGATTCTTAGATTAGTTTTTAAAATATAAATCCAGTCTGTACTGTATGGCTGTGTTGTATTATACTGCATAGTATTTGTCTATACAATATTTATATTGTCTTCCTCGGGGCCCTGCTTAGTCACCGACTGTGTTTTCAGACAGACTTGGGATTTACTCATTACTTGATGCACTGCGTTTAGCTGAAAACTGATGGAAACGCCACACAGAGACTCACAATTGAGTCATATAACAGTGAAGCAGTCTTCTGTATATTTGACAAGAGAATATATGACTGTGTGTCAAACCAAGAAAAAGCTGCCGATCTGTATATGCATGGATGTTGTTCTTTTGGGGAAGCTGTTTTTATTGCAGCTATTAAGGAAGCCTCAATTACCTGCTGCCCCGTGGCTTAGATTTTTTTAATGTCTTTATTTTCTACATCAAGTAGCCGTACGACCATTCATGTGTTGACAGGAACGCATCGATTAGTCGATGTAGCGACATGAGCAGTGTGAGAACAGCAAACGTATATTAAGCAACTTGCGGGAATTATTTAACGGCTGGGGATTCCCTCGGCAGAAACTATAAAGCAAACAGGAACTTCTGAGGACTGTCATTCATTAAAACCATCGACTTACAGTCAGGCAACTCTACATGTCAGCAAAAAAGAGAAAAAAAAAAAGAGCTGTTATTTCTTATTTATACCCACATCTACAGTACCCTGCAGCTCAGGTTGCCCACATCACTTTTTCACAAATTTCTAATCATTGCACAGACTGCCTCCTGGCCAAACAAGTCGAGCGAGATGTTGATTCGATGTTTTCGCGCTCGAGGATGGGTGAACAAGAATTGCTGTGTTATAGATATATTTTACTGTGCAGCGTTCATTGTTATACTCTCTGTTCATGAGTTCTACCCTCAGGATCTTTAACTGAACCGCGGAGCGAACGTTACTTTAGGGTTAAGTGTTCAGACTCAGCCATTTCCAAACTGAAAATATTGACATGAAAATGAGATGACAACATGCGACGTAGCTTCGGATGAGCGTAACCCTGTTTGTGCAGAAGTGGGGAGAATCTTTAATGCATTAATCATTGGTACAAATGACAAACAGCAGCTGTCAGTTTGGCAGTGAGCAATCTGGGTCTGCCAATGAAGCAACCCAGCTGTGTTCACATCAGAGTGAGGCCAAACAATGTCTGATTATTAATTTATCACACATGAAAAACAACAACAACAACAACAAAAAAAAAAGGCACTGTTGTGAAAAACTATTATTTCATTGCAACATAAATGCACCATTGACCTCTTGCTTCCAAGCATGTTACCAATATATCACAGCATGTGTACACTAGCCATTGATCTGTCACAGCAGCCACGACGTTGAATACGATCCATAGCAAAACAATTTCAGCATTGTTTGACAGGCAGAGTTGTAATATTGGTCTGTAAATCATCTGCTGCATCTGCCACAGGGTGGAAAAGGCTTTTAAGTTTTAAACTGCGCAATACATTTTTAAATGATTTTCTTCTATATTCCCACCTGGCCCATCTTAGAGCTCATTTTTTTTAATACAGGAGGGACACAGTTGGATCAAGAACCAACCTGCTTAGTGACAGAGGGCTCCCGTCGAATTTAATCTAACAAGTGCCGCTTTCCAAGTCACATAAAACCCGTTCAGTTGGTTTCACAAGAAAGTAAAATACCTCCTCCGACTGCTGAATTACAAATCACGCAGTTAGACAATCATGAGCGGATATTAGACTCGTTTCTAGAATAACGCGTAAAATGAATGTAACCTGGTTGAAGTCATGCCACGTTTTAACACGTTTAAAGCGATATTTAAATAAATAATAGTCTGAAAAGGGATTTTCATATCACTAGTTTTAAAAATAATTTGATTAAACTGAAAAATTCTCAAGAGCTGCTGCAAGATAAGTGCTATTTTGAATAACACAAAAAGATGGGCACATTAAGTGAATCACAATTGCTAAGTGGCGGGATTCATTCAAACGGACGATTTCACTTTTTATTACACTAACATTTAATTTCAACGAGTTTAAAAAAAAAAAAATCCCACCATATCTCCATCTTCACAGAACATTTCAAGCCAAATTTAAATAAAATAAAATAAAATGTCAGTCATGCAGTGATAAAAGCAGCTCTTTTTAATTTGATTGCCCACAATTCTATATTTCCCTGCAGCAGCACTGATACCTGTTGAAGTGAGAAGTGAAGTTACAGGTTGCAGTGGCTTCTCCAGTGGACAGAGAGAGCTACATAAACCAATATGTATGTCTGTAAGGTCACACTGGGTTTTATTGGGGGACCACTTGCACTGGGCAGACTATGTTTATTTATTAAATTTGTATGCTGTGCTAACTGGCGCTACATGTTTTATCTGCCTTTCTGTATTGGCCAGGATGTAAGACGCTCACTGTACAAATTAATTAATTGCTCATGTGCGATTTATCCTTTGACATACCCAATGAAATGCATAATAAAAACAAAGACATGATCCTGAGAAAACCACAAAGAAAAAATAATCTGTGCAATGATACTTTGACCACTGATTTCTGAGAAGATGCAGCCAACTGCTGTGTAACACAGTCTGGTTTTATCTCAACGCAGTCTCAAGCAAAACTACAGTCGTCTCAGAATTTATTATATTAAAGAAAGCTATCTGATCATCAACAGCTGCTAAGCATCCGGGAAGAACAACTCTACCAGAAAGATGTTCAGATTTTAGGATTAGCCGAGGTCGACTACTTTAGGGTTGAAACATTACTTCATGCAGGTGTGCGCGACCTTTCAGGATGCTAAAGATTGTTCCTCTATTCCCCCTCGGGGATCAATAAAGTATTTCTGATTCTGATGTAAATCTGTGCGCGAAAATTACTTGAAAATAAGAGAAACAAAACCAAAAATCTTTATGATCCAGTGCAGTCTCCTGCCTGAACCCAGTGGACAGAACAATCTCTGGATCAATGATTGCCTTCACAGTGATGATAATGTGCTCCGTGGCTTTCAAACAGCCATTTTTCTGTGCACAGGTACAGACAACCTGGTGTTCAAATGGCATAAAAGATGACGAATGACAGCAAGATTGAAGTGCCTGTCAGCATCGATCAGCTGGCATTCGCATTTAATTGAGGCCCGTCTGCTCCTTGCATATTCCCCTCCACCCTGCTCAGCTGTTATAGTGCAATGTGCCATTAGGAGATTCTTTGGGTTTTTCTAATGAGCAGCATTTCCACTGATCCATGCCCACATACAGCATAACGCTGCTATAATTCTATTACAGGGGAAAGTAGGAAGATTGTCAGGGGCTAGAATTTGGCTGTTGAAGTGTTCGAATGGACCTCTCAGCAACATTTAACTTTTACTCCTGAACATTTCTTTAAAAATGTGCCAGTCCAGCAGTTTTTAGAATTACCCAGTATAAATCATTCAGCATTTCTTATTTCGAGTTGACGTCATCGTATTCGTGGTTAAATTTTCTTTTAACCTGACTTTTTCTGTGAACCTACAATTTCTCCTCCTTTCTTAATCACACAAAAAAAGGTTGGTAAGGTGGTTTCAGAAATGCTAGAAATGTATAAATAACTAGCGGTTAATTAGTTCCAAATGTTCACCACCAGGTACGCAATCATGAAACACAAAAACGAGCAAAACATAGAAACATAATCAAAACTAGTATTAAAAATGCTGTAGTTGGTCAAAAACCAAAGTGTTGGACTAGTTAAAAATGGACCTTATCATAGTGCAATAGTTACAAGTCATCTAAAGTGTGATTAAAATTTCATGAGGAGTCAGAGATATTTCATTTCAAACTAACCATGTTGGCTCAAGAGGAATATTCAAGGGATCAACAAAGACCATAGGAACCATGAATTTTGTGTCAATTCAACCACTTGGTGAAGACATATTTCAGTGGACAATACAAAAAAGCTTGACGTGACAACGCAGCTACATGAAAGTAAAGGATCCTCTGGAAAATATGCTATCCTGCTTCAAGTTTCCGTTCAGTATTTGTTGCGATTTACCACTAAAGTGCATCCCCAAAGTCACCAAAATGGGAAAATGAATGTCCAACATATCAAAGCTATTGGACGTATTGCCATGCATTTTTGAACAAGTGGCGGATCAGTCGATAGGCTTTGCCATTTCTATAGAAATATATCCTAATTTGAGGTTTACAAGAGAAAATGTGTTATTGATTGATTTTTTTCTTTGTTTTTTTTTCTTCTTCTTCTCTTTACATTCCCAACAGATTTGGTCTCATCCTTCATCGAAATGAGCCTGTCCTCCACAAGATCGACCTGGAGACTACGTCATACGTGAAAAACATCAGTTTACGGGAGTACAACTGCATCCCTAAGTCTGTAGCCTACACCCATCTCGGTGGCTACTACTTTGTTAACTGCAGGCCAGACTCCACCGGTGCCACGCAGCCCCAACTCATCTTAGACAGCGTGACAGACAGCGTGATTGGTCAAAACCGCGACGTCACCGGCACTCCCTACGTGTCTCCAGATGGCCACTACTTGGTCACCGTCGACGATGGTGACGGCCTGATGAGGATCCAGACGATCTCAGAGCGGGGAGAGATCCAGGAGCCCTTCGACATCCACACCAACCTGCATCTGTCCGACCTGGCCTTCCAGCGCTCCTTTACGGAGGTCCACCAGTACAACGTGTTCGGCAGCTCCGGCCGTCAAACTGACGCTCTGTTTGTGGAGCTGAGCACCGGCAAAGTCAAGATGATCAAGAGCTTGAAAGAGGCCACCAAGTCATTCGAGTGGCCGTGGAGCAGTAGGAACAGGGTCATGGCGGGCAGTGGATTGTTTGGACAGTACCTCATGACACCGTCCAGCGAGTCCCTCTTCATCCTAGACGGACGGCTCAACAAGCTCAACTGCGAGATCACTGACGTCCTGAAGGGCAACGTGGTGGTGTGGGTTGGGGATTCTTAAGTTGTGACGTAAAGAACCAGTGAGCTTTGTTTTCCTTCAAAGGTACTGTTGCACTGAATTCTGTTGCAGATTCTTTAATTTTGTGGGAGCGCAATAGTGAAAACCACAAATTCAGAAACCAAATTGATTTGTAAAGTCCATTGGATGAGGGACTGTCATCCACAAAAGGAAAAAAAAAAAAAACATGAGGGCATAATTGATTAACGCTGTCTTAGAGCCAAGTCATTTTTTAAAAAATTTCACCTGATGGTTTGCCTCTTCGTCATAAAAGTTGCTTGCTAGTAACATTTTACAGGAAAATTGATATGAATCTGTAAATGTGTACAACTTTGCATTATGATTCGGTTGTATTCAGTGTGTGGGAATGCTGTAGATAATCTCTTAAAACTAATTAAAGTAAATCGGCAAATATACATATATAATTATATATATATGTGGTATGATTCCGGATTAACTCTTCCAATTTAAGTTTACCCATCCCCAACTTTTTCCTGTGCCTTCAAGGAAAATTCCCCTCCATCAGAGGAATTAGCGTAATTATTCCCAGTGTGACTGCAGACTACGCCTCTTTCTTTGACCCCTTCATTCATGGTGAGTGCGGTTCCTCACAAATCTATCGCTCTCTTGTATCTGTCCGTCCAACGCAGCCAACTCAGTCTAATTAAAACGAGCCCTTGCTGTGATCCCATCCTGTTTGAAGTGGAGACTGAGTGGTTCATTATGGTTGTGCGCTTTGTAACCTTTGATCCGAAATTATAACCAGCTTTGGAAGGTTTCAAATGATACAGTTTATTCTTTTTCCTTTATAGTCCAAAGCAGAAAAATGAAAGTCAGTGGTGATGTTAGTTAAATTGTACCAGCTTTATACACTACACATTGTGAAATTTTAAGTATTTCAAAATGTTCCTTAGCGAAGAGTCAATAGAGCACTCGTGTGTGAAGAAATTCTCTCATAACTTCAATATCCCTGGACCAAAAGAACAGAAAAGAAACGCATCTTAGAGTAGAGTTAAATATGGAAAACATGCATTGTCTGCTCTGTTTGACAGCGTGTTTTAAGTGGATGTTTTAATGTGAAGTGATGATGAGGTAGCACACTGGGGAGTGTGGTAGTTGTGGTTGTATTGTGTAGAGGGCCGACGAGGATAAGCGTTGAATGTGAGAAACAGCTCTTTCTAAATGCTCTTGCAGTAGATCTGTAGCTGGCAAGTCAATGAAACCGTTTCCTAGCTGGACACATTTCTATGCATTTTCACCCTAGCACTCTATGACTCTGAATCACAATGGGCAACTGTATCTCAAATTTAGTACGAACTTTTGATGTGTACAGATTATATAAAGTCATCCTGTCTTTCCTGTTAAGACTTACTCGTATATATTTTGATTTTAATTTAATATGAGCCTTTTCGTTGATCCTTTACACCCGACTGTACTGCTGATGATGACTTTTCTCTCTGTTTGTGTCCTGTACATAGCGGCTGACTGTGATTCCATTAGTTTCTCATTAATGTACAGATTCATGCAGGTTCTGTTCATCTTCCGAGCAAGTAATCAGCACACTCCTTTTTAAGAATGAAAACTAACACACAGCTGTCATTATCTACATCTTGTACGCAGACACATTGTGATCACAAAACACCGCTTTCACCCCATATAGCCATGTCTTGTATGTTCCTTCATGTGATTGTTATTTATATAGAGAAAACACGCTTGTCATTTTACCCAACAATAAAAAACTATATCATAAAACACAAGTGTATTATTGACTCTTTTCCTCATTAAATTTACCTTCAATAGCTGTTGGTGCACAGACAATCACGCAGTGAAAACTTTCCTTTAGGAGCTGAATTGCCAATTATTATTCTACAAGAGATGCAACAAGAACAAGGTCGTGGACTCCATTGTCCCTTTGGGTACATTTATCCTGCAGCAAGGAATGTAGTATAACTTATATGATTATAAGAAGCAAAAGAGGAAAATACAACTGTACGATTTAAAGGTCTGCGACAGAAAAATATGCCGATAGAATTAAAGGCTGTATGGGGGGAGTGTCATGTAACTTCTTTATTTTTGTCAACTAACTTCCTTCTTCTTTGTAAAGTCTATTAAAGGCTCCCTATTTACGATAAACAGTCATTTTCAGATTTTAAGATTCCTGCTCAGTTCTGCTTGGAGCTGGCTCTGATTATTCAACTATCTGGATATCCATCTGTTACAGAGTAGGGCTGCACCATTAACCAGGTATTGATCACAATCACAATTTTGGCTTTCCGAATTAAAATGAACATGATCGAAAGTGATAGTGACATTTCAAATGATCCCCTCATAGAAAACAGCCCATGTAGAAAGAATCGCTTAGTTTTAACTTCTGTGAATCTGATGTTAGAATGGCTTATTTCACTCTTTTCTAGATAAATTTTGATCAGATGTCTGACTGAGTTACTGCGTGGAGACCAGAGGCTTCTGTGTGCCTGGATATAGCTTCAGCTGTAGCCTACATGTGTGGCATTTACAGAACATGGTCCAGATATACTGTTTAGATAAGCAGATGTTTAGCACAGGTCCTTTTTTTTAGGTACAAGAAGAAACTTAATTTAAGTCTTATTTTTATGCAGTGACATTCATTTAAATGTGAAAGTGCAATAAAAAATGTTTAATCCCTACAATCAATTAATAATGGTGATGTCAATATTGATCAGACTATTTATGATTATCATTTTGGCAAGCTCTATTGGTATTGGGTTTGAAATCTTGGGGTTTGGATTTGATTTTTGGGTTTTTTTGTCGTCTATCAATAAAGACGAACTGCAAAACAGATTTTGTCAGCCCATTCTGATACTATATTTAGGGTCCAAGCACCAAAGGGTGCGAAGACCCTATTGGAACTGCTCGGATTATTATTATTATTATTATTATTAGGGTCCGAGCACCAAAAGGGTGCGAAGACCCTATTGGAACTGCTCGGATTATTAGGGTCCGAGCACACCAGTGCAAGGACCCTATTGTAACCGTTGTGATTATTATTATTTATTAGGGTCCGAGCACCCAAAAGGGTGCGAAGACCCGATTGGAACTGCTCGGATTATTATTATTATTCGTGCCAAAGACACGCGTTTTTGAGGCCCTAAACATACTCGAAAACTCACCAAAATTGCCATG